CACGCACCCCCCCCGGGACGGGACGACCCTCCCGGCCCAGAACGACAGCTGGATGGGGAAGGGTGTGAGTGAGTGTGCTCGGGTGTGAGTCTGGGAAGGGGGTGGGGAGTTTAAAAGCTTAAAGACCTCTTTAAACAAAACAAAACAAAAAACCCACACCCAGGTTATCCCTCCCCACCTACAAGACCCGCAGCTGGAGGACCTTCTTGGACCTGCCTTGAGCCCCGGCGGGGGCCGCGGCCAGCCGCGATGGGGCCGGGCTAGGCGCGGGAGTCCTGAGCGGCCGCGAAGAGGCGCAATCCACTCTTCCCCTGTCCATCTCCGGCATCTTCCGTGCCAGGGACGGGCGGCTCGACGGCGTCTGAGGCCCAGGCCTCTCCTGCCTCCCGCTCCGAAGGCAGCCGGAGAGCGCGCAGCCGGAGGATCTCTAAGCACGCCGGAGTTGGAGATCCTCTGGGGTCAGAGATGGAGGAACTGGGAAGGGAGGGGATTCCTGGTGAGTATCTGGAGGGTATTCTGGGGGAGCCTTGAAGGGCCCAGTGTGACGACCAGCTCCTGTCCTAACCCTCTGACCAGACCCTATCCTAAGGGCGGCTGTGGATGCCCGAGAGGCCTGGGTCCTGGGGGATAAAGCGAGGGAAAATAACAGCGGAATTGCAATACTGGTCCAGAGAGGTCTCCTCCCCACCACGACCACCCCCCAGATTCCAGGTCTCCTGGCTTTCTAGCACTCCCCCGCCAAGATTTCTCGATTTCGACCCAGAGCCAGGCACGTGGCTCTCTGGCGTCCTCTGCTGGTGAGAGATGGCCTCAACCCCTCTTTCCCGCGAGGATCCTGAGACCAGGCTGAGGGGTCCAGATATATCCACCCACAGCCGAGGACACAGAAGCACAGACAGGAAAACACACAAGCTCAGATTCAGACGCACTGTGTACACGAACCCAGAGAATCCTCCGTATGTTCGAAAACAGTATGTACAGGCCAATATATAACTTAAAAATAGAGCCCTACCTAGCCCAGAGATACAAGAATACAATTCCAGGGCGGGGGATTTAGCTAAGTGGTTTTGGCTCCTGCCTCGCAAGCACAAGGACCCGAGTTTGATCCCCGGTACAA